ACTCCTCATTCGAGGAAAAGGCTATATTTTTCTTTCAACAGATAACCCCACCAAGAAACTTTGGGTCCCATTGCATTTCATCAGGAGCCGAATTCATCTGCCTGCTTTAACTTTCAGACCGTTGCAGTCTTACAACCTCCTAAATTCCAGCCTCAAGCCATTGCCAAGTTGATTTCAGCTGGAAGTCACAAGGAAATCAATGGAGCGAGCATCAGAAGGCCTGCAGCAAAGGCCTCTAACTCCTTTAACATATCATGAGGTCACATTAAGAGTATTCCTTATACCCTTCTTTTACAGGTTGTGGATTGGGCAACTCCAGAACCCCACATTTTGGATTAACAATTCCTTCCTTTTACCCTCTCCTGGGAATTCACAGGTGTCTCAGCTCCCGAAGGAGGAAGGAATGACTTTTAATAGGAACACCTTTTAATTTCTCTCTGGGATAACTGTTTGTGTTGGAGTAGTCCACCCCTCCCCGCCCCCCCACCCCCCATCTCTTTCTCTACCCCCAGGCATGGAGATGTACCAAACTCCAATGCTTGAAAGCCTCTGATAACTTAAAAAAAGTGTTTTTTCCAAACATAAGCTAGGTTGCACATCTATGACTGCCAGTGAACCTGAACAGAGAATGGCTGCATTCCCCTGCTGGAGAGCTCCTGACTGAAGTTGTGATGCTCTTGTTCCAGTGCTCCCTGCCTGAGCCAGTGCCCTGAAGTTCATCAGATTTCTATAGTTGTTCTTCTGGGACTCATTGCTGTGACCACTACTGCTGCTGTTGCAGAAACAACTCTTCAAATTGTGATCAAGACACTTCATTTCTTTAAAATGTGACTAAATCACTCTGATCACCCCTGGATAGTGCAGGACTATCGGACACTTTACAATAAGCACTGCTCTGGGTTCAGGGGTGGATTGAAGTTTTAGTACAACACATGAGACTTTTGTGTTTGGAATTGTTACTCTTTCTATTTCAAATTCTTGTGTTTTGTAAACAGAAAAGGGGAAGATATAAGATAACATTGCTTTGTCCTTTCTCCCTTGCCACAGAAGCTTAGATTTATCAGATTACACCCATCACAGTGCTCCCAAGTCACTCCCATTCCTTTGTTGATCTGTAACCACTTCTATGTTCTCTTTCCCAACCAGTTAATCAGCTTTTCTGCCTAATCAGACTGTTAATTTGTAAGGTCAGATCCTTCTAGGACACTGAACTTGTAAGTTAATACTGCCTTTCTCCTCTCCTTCTGTCTTATAAATAGTTTACTTTAATGCAATGTCCTTTTTGTATAGATACAGGAAGACCATTAACATTATGCTTTGTAACAGGATTTAATTGGCTTTGAATATTATTCACTCCCGGGCATCCGCTTTCTCGACTTAAGCCTCAGTCGCCCTTGGTTCCTAACAACCCAAAAGCAGGGTCCCGACGAGGGACTGAACGGATCCAGGGCAAGCGATGAGCTACCCTGGCATCGAAATGGGCCAGGCCAAAGTGCCACAATTCTTAACTATAAGTTAAGAGTTTGATCATAGACAAATGCTGTCATGATCCAAAGGGAACAACGTGACAGGACCCTGCTAGGGATAGGAAAGACTATCTGGCGTGAGCACTGTAGTCTGAGATCGAGATAGCCCTCGGAGAGCAATCCTATAAGTTTAAGGTATTTCTTACTGTATCTATACAAAATGATTTATATTATGTATGCTTATATGTTTGGAGGGCTGGAGCGATAGCACAGCGGGTAGGGCGTTCGCCTTACAAGCGGCCAACATGGCCGACCCGAGTTCGATTCCTCTGCCCCTCTCGGAGAGCCCGGCAAGCTACCGAGAGTATTCGATATGCCAGACACAGTAACAACAAAATCTCCAACGGAGACGTTACTGGGCCCGCTCGAGCAAATTGACGATCAACGGGAGGGCCTTTTATATGTTTGTTGGACAAGGAGAGGAGAAACACACCCAGGGGATTCTGATCTAGGGTGGGTCGTCCTGCTGAGAGAGTATCTGTTCTAGAAGCGGCTTTCCCTGAGGGAAAAAACTTTATCCCTATTGATTGTGACCACACCTATGTGTAATTGTTACCCCAACCCCTCATGCTTTGGGATTTAACTGTACTGTAAGAGTGGGCTGGGGGATCAGAATCGAGACTCCAGAGCAAGAGGAGAAAGAATCGGGATCAGAATCCAGACTCCAGAAGGAGAAGGAGAGAAAGGGGATCCAGATTCCAGAGCGAGAAGGAGAATGAAGGGGGATGGAGGAGGAGAATGAAGTAGCATGGGGAGGAAGAGGCAGGAGGAGAATCAGGAGAATGGAGATGGGATTGGAATAAACTGCAAACTAAGACCTACCAGCCTGGCCCTCGTTCCTTCCTTCGCCTACCCATCACCATGGACCTCCCCGGGGTGGGGGAACCGGCAGGAGAGATATAGCCGCTGCCACTGCTGTCTTTTTTGAGTTTACACACTTCTTGCCTTTTGTTTATATTTTGAGATATCCTGTTTTGGGTTTCTCTTCTTTTATTTCAACCTATTTTATTTTCAGAATTCTCTAATGCCTCACAAACCACCTACAGGAAAGTGATAGAGAATGTCGTCATTGCTTGCAGAGTCTGCTCAATGGGCCTTGGATAAATCACAAAAGAATCCTGTGATCCTGTGATTAGAGTGGATGGAAAGGTGCTGGTCCCAGTGCTCAATGGTTCTGGGGGTGAAGATTTGTCACTTCTGCTCACTCATTAGACCCAAGTGAAGAGAGGGGTTTTGCACTCTGAAATAAAAGGTGTAAAAGGGAAAGCACATTAAACCACCTCCCTGACTTTTCCTCATGCAAAATCCAATAGTTGGGAATTGAGCCTTTGGCAAACCACTATCTAAATTGGGGGGGGGGGGGGGGGGCGTGTTCTAATGCAGAATTGATTTTTGTTTTTTGGCCACACCAGAGGTGGTCAGGGCTCCCTCCTGGCTCTAAGCTCAGGGATCACTCCTGAAGGGGCCCAGGGGACCATGTGGTGCTCGGGATCGAACCCGAGCGGCCACCTGAAGCCCTTAATCTGCTGCTAATCTGCTGTACTCTCTGGCTTCTCAGCATTTGTGTTTCATCACACTTGATTCTGTCTCTGATTCTTTTGACAGAGTGGTAGATTTGAAGCCTTGTGAACTATGTATCATCTACCTGGCCTACACTGCCAGCGTCAAATCAGCCCTAACCCTCAAAGTTCAAATCAACACTATTTCTTCGCCAATAATTAGGGGATCATAATTTAATGATTAACTTAGGCTGCCAGCATGAACACAGCACTAGTGATGTTTATTTTCTTTTTAAAGCTGTCTTTAAAACTTGCATAAAGCTGCCTTTAAAAGTTGTGTAACTTGTCCTAAGATACTGATTCAGAAGACCGGGCGTAGGTCCCTGGCAATTTCATCTTTGGAAAGCTTTGCCAGTGATTCTGATGGGGGAGGGTGGGGTGCACACTATAACACAGGGACGGATATAAACACGAGATGATGGGGTGGGGTGGGGGATGGGCATCCAGCAGGAGGCAAAGGGCACAAGACCCTTTGAAGCCACACAAAAGAGATTTTGCTCTTTCTGGAATGTTACTTTTATTTGCCAGATAAATAACTCAAAATGTCATTTTTTTTTGAGTGGATACACACACACATACACACACCCCACCCAAGTACATACCACTGTTAAAACCAATATTTCAGATACGTGCATTTCACTGTTCTTAGTTTGGCTCAATAAAAAGATCCTCTTTCCCACGAAAATATAGAAGCAGTATGGAGTAGAAAGAGGTCTCTGCATTTGTTAACCTCTGAGATTTCAAAATCTCTCTTCTAGCCAACGAGCTTACATCTAAGGATGGATGGCCTTAGAGGCAGAATGCTGGAAGCCAGACTTTTTGAAACCCTGGGTTTAGAAATCCTTTTATTCCCAGGGCTATTCATCCAGTGCACTATGACCTGCTCCTCCCACTCCTTGCCACTTTACCTTCCACACACTATTGCTTTAACACGCTCCAAAGCCTCCAAAAAAAAAAAAAAGTAAGCGTTCCATTCTTTTGTGACGATTGGCCGTGTCATGTTTATTGTTACTGGGTAGAAGGTCTGGGCACTAAGCAGCCTCAAGATTTATCTGAAACGGATTTAAAAGGTTTTTCATTGTTCGGGCAGGTGAGAGAGTGCCGGAGGTGGTGAAGCCTTTTGATTTCATGCCAACCAGGTTTGACCCCCCAGCACCGCACACGGTCCCCGAGCATTTCCAGGATCAAGTCTGAGCTCCGCGCCTGGTGACCTTTCCTCCCCACCCCCCTGCTCCCCGCCCCGCCTCCGTCCCAAGGTTACAGGGTGCAAAGGTTGTTCTACACAAAGCCCGAAAATCCACACTCCTTTCGGGAAAAAAAGCAGGTGGACAGAAGGGTCAGGTGGAGGAAACCCAGGACCAAAGAAAGGGCCGGGCACAAGGCCCCTTTTCACGTCCTCTGGCTGGAGGGCGGGCAGAGTTACAGATTCCGGAGTCCAAAGCAGGGTCCAGCGGAGAGTGGGGGGGCGGAGGGAGGGGCTCCTGTTTGGAAACTCGCACTCAAGAGTCCTGGGCCAATAGCCGGCGTGGGGTGAGACAAAGGACACCTCCACTGACCCATCTGAGTAACGCGTCTCACGGACCTGCAGAGCCACACAGTCCTGAGAGCATAAGCGGAAAAAAAAATTTCCTAGAAAGCGGGAAAGCGCAGAAGCAAGCCGAGAAGACCCCAGGAAGGGCGACGTGGGGGGAGGGGCGCCCACCCCATCACTCCAGCAGGCGCTCAGCAGTCGCGGGGGGAGCGGCGGGGGGTGGGGCAGGACGGCCGAACTGGCCACGCCCCCTAATCCCCGCCCCGCCCCCACAGACCCCACCCCCACCAGCAGCTCTCGGCTTCACGCCTGCGCCCTTCAACCGTGGCCTCTCGGGAAAGGCCCCAGCCAAAGGCCAGAGGCGGCGAAGGGTCCGTCTCTTACCTGCTCCACATAGGCCGCCGCCGCCGGCTCGTCCCGCCTTCCTCGGACGCTCGGCGCCCCCTGAGAAGCGGGCCGAGGCCGACTGGATCCTGATTGGAGGACGGGCGCGCTTCCCCGCTCGCCGCCGCCCAGCCCCGCGAAAAAGCGCAGCTTGGCCCCGCCCCTTCCTCCCCGTTATTTAAGGCGGTTGGCTGCCGCCCTCCTGCCAGTCAAAGGGGAGGGGCTCTGTCATTGGGCCGGGGTGTGCCTGCGGGGATTTCTCTCCTCCTGGGGTGACTCCTGGGGTCAGCTGTGGACGATGTCGCAGAGAGGCTTAGAGCGCGGCGACGGGACCGAGGAGCAGGTGTCCGGGGCCAAAGTCATCGCTCAAGCGCTGAGAACCCAAGTACGAGGCGCCCGCAGGGAGCAGGGAGGGCGCTACGGAAGCCGGCGGGGGCCGAGCTGTTGTCATGGAGACGAGAGAAGCGCGGCGTGGTTGCGCGGGGTGGGGGTTCGGGGGCGGCTGGATGCTCGATGTCTGCGGGGGCGCGGGTTAGGGTGGGCTGGGCGAGGACGGCGAAGAGATGGTCCTTTCTGCGCCGCCCCGCTCCGAGCCTCAGTCCTTCGCTTTCGGTCCCCAGAATGTGGAGTACATGTTTGGCATCGTGGGCATCCCCGTGACCGAAATCGCCCTCGCCGCGCAGGAGCTGGGCATCAAATACGTCGGGATGAGGAATGAGCAGGCGGTGAGTATGGAAGCTGGCAGCCCGGGGCTTTGCTTGGGACAAGAGCCATGGCAGAGGCGCAGACTCACTGAGGACTTTCTGCCTTGCCCTCTTGCACTTCACGCACATCCATCATAACCTGGCGACTCCAGTTCATGCTGGATGACAGATTGAGGAGCGTGAGAAAGACACCACCCAGACTTTCCCCAGGTGACAGGCGCTGGAGGCTCAGCTGGGATCTGAAGCCAATCCAAAGTCTACACTTTGTTTAGGGGATGGGTGCCCCCAGGCAGTGCTCCGGGGGCCACGTGGGCTGGTCCAGCAATAACCGGGAGCCACCTGCACCATATTCTGTGGTGTCCAGAGGGCACTAGAGCCTCCCTCATGGTGTTAGGGAGCCTTGGTGCCAGGGATCCAATGCGGGCTCTGAGCATGCCAGACATGTGCTCCCGCCCTTTGAGCTGGCTCCGAAATCCACGTGTCTAAAGCTATCCTATATTAGTGTCAGAATTGGAAGGCACAATTTCTCATTTTTATGTTGACCCTTCTCCCCTTTTTCTATAGTTCATTTAGAAATTTTGTTTTGTTTATATTTTAAACCTCATGATTTATAAGATTGTCATAATAAACGTTGCTTCAGGCATTCAGAGTTCCAAAACCATTCCCACCATCAGTGTGACCTTCCCTCCACTAATGTTCCCAATTCCCCCCCCCCCACGCCCCCAAGACTGTCACCCTAGCAGGCACAAATTTCATTCATATTGCTTGTTACAACAGAATGACAAATGGAATTATCAAAAACTAGATCAATAAAAGAGCATTTGTGACAATTGTTCTGTCTCACAACGGTGCTACTAAAGTCATTGAGAATTTACTGAGCTAGTTGGTGCTGCTTGAGCCTTCTGTTACTGTTTTCACTCATTGAACTAGGCGAGACTCAACTTTCCCATCAGATTTGCAGTGCTCCTGCTGGTCTGTCTGTACTGTGAAATCAGGAGCCTGGAGCTGGGGAGATTTGGAGGCTTGATGGATAGATGAGACTCACTGTGGAGCTAGGCCATTCTCTGCAAGAGGGTGTGGGTGTGGGCGGTTGGGCCTTCCAGGAGAGAGGGGAATCTGTTCAGACCCTTACAGAGAAGGTTCCAGAGTTCTCAGCCTGGAGACCAGTCCGCCGGGGATGATTCAGCGGGTTGGTGCTCTTTTGAGAATAGTTGTGGAGTTGGGTTGTTTCTATGCCTGAGGATGTCTGGTGCGGGTGTGTGATTCCCGTCTTTCTCTATCATAAATTCCTATGATGCCTATTTCTCTGTGTTATTTGTCTCATCTGACTTCCCTGTTAGACTGTGACCTGCAAAAGTGCAGGGAACTATTATTTCTTCTTGGCATCTCTGTCTCCACAGTGCTTCGGTGGTGCCTGCATCTAGAAGGAGCACAGGGAGCATCTGCGTGATGAATAGGTGAAGGGCAAGGCTTATTTTATAGGAAGTGGCCCTGCAAGGGAAAGAAAGCACACAGAGCAAAGCTGACTGGAATTCAGGTTTCCTCAAAGCCAGTCCAGACTAGTCCCAACATACTAGGACTCAGGAGTATCTGTAAGTTTGAGAATGAAAGATGCCAACCTCTTTCATCGTTTCACAAGGCCGGCTGAAAAGGTCAAGAATCCATGGGATTCCTCTGAGTTCTTCGAAAACTTTCTTGTCCCTGTTTTCCACTCCCACCAGTTCAAGCACCTCTTACCCAGACTGCTGACTTCACCTCAAGTGGTCACACCACTTCTGTGATCCGACCTCAGTCTGGAGAGCAGGAATGGGGGTTCCTGGGTTACCCTGTTTCTGCCGGACTTGGCTTGGTTAGGTCTTCTGTATGATGTAGAGCAGAGATCCCCAGACTTACTTGGCCCACTGCCCCCTTTTCAGAAAAAAAAAAAGGAAATCACTCACAGGGCTAGAGAAATAGTACAATGGGGTTAGCTGCTCACCTTGCATGAAGCTGATCCGGGTTTGATCCCTGACCTGCATCTGTTCCCCCAGTTTCCTCCAGGAATGGTCCCTGGGCACTGAGCCAGGAGTAATCCCTGAGCACAATGTGGCCCCCAAACAAGCAAAAAAGATAAAAATCAGTAGCCCCTGGAAACCTGTCTTTTTTTTTTCTTTTTGGGTCACACCCGGTGATGGTCAGGGGTTACTCTTGGCTTTACACTCAGGAATCACTTCTGGCGGCACTCAGGGGACCATATGGGATGCTGGGACTCGAACCTGGGTTAGCTGCGTGCAAGGCAAACGCCCTACCCGCTATGCTATCGCTCCAGCCCCAAAACCTGCCTTTTTAAAGGGTTTTGTTTTGTTTTTGTTTTGGGGCCACACCTGGTGGTGCTGCACTCAGGAATCACTCCTGGTGGGCCCAGGAGACCGGGTGGGCTTGGGAGACCATATAGTTGTTGCGGACCAAACGCGGGTTGGCTGTATGCAAGGCAAATGCCCTACTGTCTGCTCTATCTGTCCAGCCCTGGAAATCAATCATTAAGGAAACCTAGTACCCTCTTATTGCACTGGAGGCTATTACCATTCTGGACTGTTCCAGTGCCCTTTGACCCTCAGCCTCAGGGAGGAGGACAGTATCCCTCATTTTGGGAAACAGTGGATAGAGACTTTATAAATTTTTTCATTAAATGTCATTTTTTGCCTATGAAATTTGAGAATTATACTTTGTTTTTTTTTTCTTTAAGACTAATAATGTCTTGGGGCCAGATAGATAATATAGCAGGTAGGGTACTTACCTTGCATGCAGCTGACTCGTGTTCAATCTTCAAGCACTCCAAATAGTCCCCTGGGCCCTGCCAGGAGTGCTCCCTGATTGGCAGAGCCAAGAGTAAGCTTTGAACACCACTGGGTGTGGTCCCAAACGAAAAAGACTAATAGGTTTTGAATTTACTTAAAACAACGGTACTGCGGGGTTGGAGAGATAGCACAGAGGGTAGGGTGTTTGCCTTGCATGTGGCTGACCCGGGTTCGATTCCTAGCATCCCATATGGTCCCTTGAGCACTGCCAGAAGTAACCCCTGTGCATCGCCAGGTGTGACCCAAAAAGAAAAAAAAAACTGCAATGCACTGTTCATCGATTTGCTCGACCGGGCACTAGTAACATCTCACAACAAATTGTGAGACTTGTTGTTACTGTGCTTGGCATATCGAATATGTCACAGGTAGCTTGCTAGGCTTTGCCGTGTGTGTGAGATTCTCTCAGTAACTTTCTGGGCTCTCCAAAAGGGCGGTGGCTTAAAACAACATTCTGTTTGTTTGTTTGTTTGTTTGTTTGTTTTTAATCTGTGTGGAAAGATGAAACAATTGTCCTGTTCATGGGACTTGTATTTTTTCTAGGTGTACTGGTATCTTCTTTCCTCCAGAGAGTGAGTGTGCAGTCCTGTGTGGCTTGGGTGCTTCTGGGACACCAGGATCGTACCTGGGTGTGCTGGGGTTTGGGCCCTGCAAGATTGGGTCAAACTCAAGACCTTGCAAATGCCACATACGCTCTCTACCACTTGAGCTATCTCCTCAGCACCCAGTTTCTTCTTAGTATAAATATTTATTAAGTACTTACTATATATTAGCTTTATGACTTTACCTGAGAAAGGAAATTCAATCTAAATTTTCATGTTGATCACAGTTTCAGAAGGTGACAGCCAAGGCACAGGAAAAAAATTCTTTAGCATAAAAACTCCCAATAAATAGATGCACAAAGAAGAGTACATATAAATCGGTGACTATCTCTTTAAGAATCAGGAATGATTAATTCGTTGAGAGGTAAAGTTTGTGCTGTTTCACTGGGATCCCATCGGGGCATGTCAGACTATGAGCTAGACTGTTCAAAGTTCACTAACACGGAAAGGAATTGGGACTTCTAAAAAATAAGCTTTGGGTGACACTGTAAATGTTTTTCTAATTAAAGTGGGAATAAACCTACCCGGGCCTCCTTAGGGCCCTGTGGCTTTGCCGAGGTCTGGAAATGAACAGGAATGAACAGTGTCTGCTCTAGAGGGTTTCGTAGCCTCGTGTGGAGACATGTACAAACTCAGGGTTATTACAGCGTGTTGAGTGCACGCCCGAAGCCAGCTCAGCCCAGTCAGAGAAACTCCCTGGAGGGGTAACACAGCCACTATCAGGAGCCAGGCAGGGAAGGGAGAGTAGGTCCTTCTGATTTGGGCATGCTCAACTACCAATTTCAGAATCTAAAGGAAAAAGCCAACTTGGAGGGAAAGGCATTGAGTTCTGATTTGAACATCAGTCTGAAATCTGGAACATTCCAGTGCATACGTCAATTAACTTAACTGCGCAGCAGTCACTGGGATCATTGATGGGTGTGCATCTTGGGTAACCCTGCAGGCCCCGAGCACCGCTGGGCCTGAGCAGTATCACCC